TTATGGCCTTGTTATGTTAATAAATGTCTAATTAATATTTTATATAACATTTCGGGACTACAGAAAGATCACCAATAGGCTTGGATAATGTATGGTTTAATGATAATCACCAACACTAAGTACATTAAACGTAAGACAGCTTCGAATAATTGAAATGAAATGGGGGTATTTATAACGTTCTTCTTTACTGTACCAACAGTGCTATAAAGACGCGCATGTAGCATTATAGCATGCAGTGTGTTGCGAGAGAAGTTTTGCGGCCTATATATTTCCATTTCTAACGGACATACCATCTATCATACAAAATCTACATAGTATTTGTTATATACTCTTCAAAAAAAAGTAGGGGATATTCAGAAACAACACAAAACTGCGGAAATGCACTGCTGTTTTTATTAGAGGTAACCAGTGTATGTTAATAACAGGCCAGTCGCCTACACATGAACATAAACAGTTCATATGGTCGGCTTATCTGACGGCCCCATTTCACTCACTAAGAGATGCACTGTTAAAAGTGAAAATGGACGTTTTTGATTTTTGTCTTAATAATGAGTAATTGATCCACCAATCCTCAAACATTCAGTAATTCGTCGTTGCATACTCTTAATCAACCGTCCAATCACGTTTTGGGGCAATCTAACCCACTCCTCTTGCAGTGCCATGGCCAATTCTTTCAGTGTTGTCGGTTGACGTTGACGTCGACGAACACGTCTCCCGATCAAATTAAACGTAACGTACTAAAGCAAAGATACGCTAAACAGTAAATCTTATGCAAGAACCGATAGGAAAGCAAACATGGATAGAATAAACCAGCAAGTGGCAGTTTTCATCAACCCTTCCTTGAAGTGTCAAATTTGACAATGAACCCATCTCCCACGTGTATGGCGCTATTGTGTGTCGGACGTACAGCCCAGTGATTCTTTTGGGGCGATACGTTCTTCATTTATGAATTACTCTCAAAGCATGTTAAGTATCTATGACTATTTATCATACCACAGCCTGCATAGGTATTTGCATTTCAATATCCCCTACTTTTTTTGAAGAGTATATATTGTCTAGAGCCTTAATTCCTACTATAGAATATTCTGGCTCTTGAGTTATAGCTGCTGTTGGATTTAGAGGAAGAATAGACTGTTCTACTTTTTAGACTCCACCCAGTCAGAGGACATGCATTTTAACCATAATTAGGTAATCCGGGGGCTGATAACGGATATTTTAACACTAAAGTAACAGCACTAGAATACACAAACAACCCTTAAATGCTGAGACAATGCTCCTACTGCAGAATAAACTCGATCTAAAGACACCAACGTGCATGCGAATTATTATAGAAATAAAATTGAACCATATGTTAGTCCCTAAATGAACTAGTTTGTGAGGAGTGGACGTTAAACCCCATTACTCTCTCTCCAGAATTCGAGTTTTACCTTTGAATTTACAGAACTCATTGATAAAGTAAAAGACTTGCAGGAGGAGTAAAAGAAATAAAGTCTTTCAGTGATTTCATCAATCAAGAAGACATATGTAGAGAATGGAAAGACAGATAGATTAGTTCCCGAGCAAGTTGACTTTCACAAAGTAAGATAACAAATAGGTTTCTTTTTACCAGAAACTAATTAAATTGGAGAAAGAAACCTTAAGAAAACGAACAAAAAACCCACCAAAACGACGGCATATTAGACCAAGGTTTCTGAATAAATGAGACGGACCAACTTTTGATGCTCCACTAAGGAGAGAAATTGGATTTAACTTCCCGTCAACTCAATTCTATGATACTTTTTATACTAATATTCGGTGGTATTATGGCAAGGTGTAAGTGCTATTGGAATTCGACAGTAATTATAATTCAGCCTTAAATTCAACAAGATATCGGATCCAACGTTTATGTGATTGCTGTGCAGGTTTTCAGCACAAGACATTGGAATTAGAAGAAACTGACAGAAATTCAACTTTAGCCTTGACTCTTGGAATTTGAATTAAGTGTAGACCGTTTTACTTGTCTTTACTACACTTGGATCTGGAAGAGTTGTTATTTAAACGCGTGTTCTGAATGGTGTCAGGGCTAAACCAATGAAACGGTCTGTTACGGCGAGCTTTATGCGTGTTTTTCACGGAACTGTGGGTAATCCACTAGTAACATCAATGCTGATTGGTTAATCAAATGTCTGACGTCATAGTGTAGGCCATCGAAAGTATAAAAAAAGAAACGAAATATAGATCTGTATTTTAATCAGATTGACCGTAGTGCCGCTGTCCGGGCAAAATATCCCTCATAGACTACTGTATGGACTGTGCTCGACCTCATTAGCCCCACCGGCAGACCAGTAAAACGTTAAACCCAATTTCTTTTCATTTTCTACTAAACGAAGCGCAACTCTTCCCATCTCGTTACCATAAGAACGATTGATCTATTTATAAACTCACGATAGTCTCGTGAATAGCACAGATTACTGAACCGTCAATTAGATTTCTAATTTGCCCAAGGCCCTGTTTCTCGAAATCTTAAGTAAAGATAAAATACAAATTTTAGTAGATACTTCAATTTTGTTTGGCTAAGCACTAAAATCAATCTAATATTATCCAATCAAATTACTAAAATTTGGATTTTTATCTTAGTTATAATTTCGTGAAACGGGCACCAGAGCATTATTCGAGGGGGCTACGATGGCGTGTGGAGTGCTCGCCCGGGAAAAGGCCACATGTCCCCTAACAATTCACGTGGTGTCTTCATTATCCCGGTTGGTGCAGAAAAGTAGGATGATAAGTCCCATTTATTGATTGAGACTAGCAAATCATTCTAAGATATTTAGAACAACCAGGGCCGGATTGGGCTTACTTTGGGAATCTGGCGGGAAATGTCACCGTGGTCTATGCATGAACAATTAAGTGTGTGCGTGTGGTTCAATTATATTTCAATAATTCGCTTGCGCGTAGGGGTCTTTAGGAGTGGGGGGAAACCGGAGGACCCAAAGAAAACCCACGAGGTTGGACAGGCGACTCTACTCCTTGTCATGTACAACCGGGGATTCGAAACGACGCCAGTTGACTCAATGACAGACCTTATGATACAGCGCGCACGTGCTAACCATTCGGCCATACAACCTGGCTAAATGTCATGTTTATATATGGTACACACTGGGGGTCCGTTTTATACTGGAGCCCCATCCCCTTTAATCCGACCTACCCTGATCGAGAGTAGAGAATTCCAGTGTATGCTGGAGCCCCACCCCCTTTAATCTGACCTACTCTTTCATACTTGAGTCCCACCCCTTTAATCTGACCTACCCGGTTCGAGACTAGAGAATTCCAGTGTATGCTAGAGCCCCATCCCTTTCAATCCGGGGGAGGGGGTTGGATGGCTGAATGGTTAGCGTGCGCGCTGTATCATAAGGTTGTCATTGAGTCAACTGGCGTGGTTTCGAATCCCCGGTTGTGCATGACAAGGAGTAGAGTCGCCTGTCCAACCTCGTGGGTTTTCTCCGGGTCCTCCGGTTTCCCCCCACTCCTAAAGACCCCTACGCGCAAGCGAATTATGTAAATAAAATTAAACCATATGTTAGTCCCGAAATGACCTAGTTTGTGTCGAGTGGACGTTAAACCCCATTTCTCCCTCTCTCTGTCTCTCTACCTTTCAATCCGACTTACCCTTTTATACTGGTGTCCCATACCCTTTAATCCGACCTACCCGGTTCGAGACTAGAGAATGTCAGTGTATATGCGATCGAGACTAGAGAACTAGACTGTATGAACGAACTTCCGTATATTGACAATGTTATGATTAACAACCGCGAACAGATAATACAAAAATCTCAATATGGAAACATGACGTAAAATAACTTGATTAATTTCATTCATTAATCAAATAAATAAATAGACATTTTACTCTAAACAAATATTATCCTATAATTATTTGCCTTATTTAATAGGTAACGTCGTCGTATTGGCTACATCAAATTTTCTGTAAGATCAGAATAAACACAGGCTTCCTATTTTAGCTATGAGTTTTAATTTCCGCTCACAAATCTACAAAAAAACTATAAAAAAATCAGGTTTTTTTTGTATCGAGCTTGAAAATTGAAGTAGTCGCTATGTCATTAATAAAGATTGACGTCCTATAAGAGCTCGTGATAAATTTGAGATATTAAAATTTTTATGATGACAGTCTGACATTTTATGGAATTGAAGAAATTTACACGTTGTGTGGCTGCTCTGACCAAGATATGACACCATAACGTCTTTGTGCGGTTCTCTTTCGCTATTGGACCCTTTTCTATCCACCGTATCGTCTTAGGATTCGGGGGTTTAATTTCAAAACAAACTCTTCTCCCTGTATTTAAAGTCAAATTGCTTGTGCCACATTTGTGTGGGTGGGTGCGGTGCTGCGGTCTGCTCGCATAGGACCCGAAATATCTTAAAGCCGGTGGTGGGACTAAGCTATACCATGGAATCAGGGACTGTGTAGTATACCTTACACAAAGCCCGAAATATCTTAAAGGCTCTTACTAAAGCTGTACCATCGTCAATATAAACACTTCCCCCCCCCCCCCCGTAAACTACGGTCAACCCAGGTGAGTGTTACGGGGAGGGAAAGGTTCATACTAGGATCCAAGACAAACAGCACAGGCTTAGTACTGGCTTTGTAGGTCTGACGCTTTCCCTACACTGGCCTTGGAGATCTAACATGTTCCTCGCACTGGCTTTGTAGGTCTGACGCTTTCCCTACACTGGCCTTGGAGATCTAACATGTTCCTCGCACTGGCTTTGAGAGTCTAATATTTTCCTTGCTCTGATTTTGTGGGGCTAACGCTTTCCTTGCACTGATTTTGTGGGTCTAACTTGTTTCTTGAACTGAATTTGTGCGCCTAATATTTTCCATGCATCCAACTGATGAGTTAATGGACACCAAGCGAGCACACCAGCTAATTAACTCGCCCCAGATATCATGTAGAATTTGATTATTATATGGACTGTGATATAAATGAAATGATCCACTCACACGATTATTCATTATAATATTTATTAAGAAAAATTTACATAAAATAGCGACACAATCAATTAGAAAAACAAATAGAGTCTTAAATGCGGTATTTGCTGGAGTCCAGCTCAATTTACAGCAAACTTGAATTACCTGGCAATTTCCCATGGTTATGCGTCGGATGCGGATAAAATCTGACACCATCCAACGGACTTTTCGTTCGAATCACTGTGAGCCATACCCCCGTAACCTTTCATTCGAAGCTAAGATGAAATTATTTCTGTGTATTTCTTATACACGACAAACATTAAATCGTACAGTCAATTCTTCAGGATATTTTGAAAAGTTTCTAGCGGAGCCCCTTCCCCAACCCCTAGTACAGTTTCCTGGCACCACCGGCTCGTTTATCTCTACTTTGACAAATCATAATAAAGGATTTGACAGTTCAACAATAAAAGCTGAAAAATAAACTGTTAAGCATAATAGCAGATTTAATAAGGCCAAACAATAAAAGTTAAAGCATAAATTGCTAAATATAAATGTCTTGGAATATTCAAATAAACGTTTATAATATTAAACCACGAGCTGGGGTCCATGACTCCATACAGTGCCTTTAAAAAAATACAATCGGCTTGAATCTTAGCGTGTCTTCTCGTTGGCCTTTGCACAGTCTGAGCGGAACAGTAGGACGCTAAACCCCATTTAATTTCATTTATTTGGGCTTAGATTTTTGATATGACGTCACGATTCCACGAGGGCGCCGATAATGTCACAAATCAGTTCATAGTAGAACTTTTGTAATTGTTATTAAATTAGCAAAACATTACAAATTTACAATTTATTATAATGGCGCCTCATCAGGTATCACCCGAGTGCCACAACAATCTCCTTGGTATTCTCCGCGCACTCTTCGGCGATCTCCGTGGACTGATCGGCAATGTCCGTGTAGACCTAGCCATGAGAACTCGGGCTGTTGGCGATAAATTATCCTCGGTGTTGACAGAAAGTCTTTTACTACTGCGATAAGTCATGCCTGAATCTACTGTAGTCACACTATGTCTTCAACACGAGAATGGAAAATCACCAAATAACTCAGTAACGTGAGGAGAGGGTGTCAGAGGGAGTGGGGCAGAGAGTGGACGGTGGGCGTGGGGAGGGCAAGAGGTAACAAAGAAAGACATGGGGGGACAGAAAGGGGACAGATGGTGACAGAGAAGGACAGAGGGGTGACAGAGAGGGGGTGGGGGCAGAGAGAAGACAGAGAAAGTGGTGGACCCTGGCATCCATGCCAGGAAGACATCCGATCAAAAAGGGTGGGGTGGGGTGGATGGCTTACTGGTTAGCACGTTCGCGCTGCATCATTAAGTCTGTCATTGAGTCAACTGGCGTGGTTTCGAATCCCCGGTTGTACGTGACAAGGAGTAGGGTCGCCTGTCCAACCTCGTGGGTTTTCTCCGGGTCCTCCGGTTTCCTCCCACTGCTAAAGACCCCTACGCGCAAGCGAATTATGGAAATAAAACCATATGTTAGTCCCGAAATGACCTAGTTTGTGTCGAGTGGACGTTAAACCCCATTTCTCTCCCCGATCAAAAGGTGAAATTAAATTAAGGTTTTAGACATTTGATATTAACTCTGTGGTACAAGCTGTCCCATGTTGATATTACCCCGTGGTACAAGCTGTCCTATGTTTTTCACATTTACAATGTCTTCTTTTCTCACATTTGTGTGTATTAGGGACATATACTTGAGACTTGGGGTGGGGGGGGACAATAAAAGGAGCTCCCCCCCCCCCCCCGGGGATCACCAAGCCCCTGCACGCCAGTGGAATAACTAAGTATATTTGTCCTTTCAATATATAAAAACACAGAATATGAATTTGTTCAAAACAAAACCAATATACTTAAAGATGACAAGTCAATAAGCAGGATATAATTGAATAAATAGCCGATAAGCTTCAATCAGTCAGATAACTGTCAGTTATTGAATCCCCTTGTACACGAGTAGTCTAGATCGATGTCCTGACAATTCTTGTCGATTATTGCTGTTTACGTGTTGTTAAAGTACAGGAATCATAGTGCTACTATATCCTGCATGTGTTGACTCTGGAGTTGAACCTTCATCTCTATAACACTGTAGAGTGCCAGAGCTAGAGCAAGGACAGCAGCAAGGATGTAAACCTTGGTTTCCACACACAGGAAGTAGCTGTAACCAAACGCTATTGCGCATCCTGTAGCATGAAACATCCGGTATGACGCGAAGGCGGCTTCCTGTTTATGTGTAAACAAAACACCAAACAATGCTGCAAAAAGAAAAGAAAAATGATTCAATTAAAGATACATTATGTAAGATTTAGATCTGGCCATTCTTGAGATAATAGTTCAAAAAATACATATTGAACATTTCAGTCAAGTTACTTTATTCTGGGTGTTTGAGGCTTTGACAAGATAGTCTCGATCCTCAAGTATCATTGCTACAAAGTCTCAATTATTCAATAAACGTTAAATTATTAAATGGCGACCATTTTCTTACCAATCCAATATCTGGGTCTCCCGATGTTCTAGAGGGTTGGGGGTGGGGGTGGGGTGGATGGCCGAATGGTTAGCACGTGCGCGCTGTATCATACGGTCTGTCATTGAGTCAACTGGCGGGGATTCGATACCCCGGTTGTACGTGACAAGGCGTAGGATCGCCTGTCCAACCTCTGGGGTTTTCTCCGGGTCCTCCGGTTTTTTTCCCACTGCTAAAGACCCGTACGCGCAAGCGAATTATTAAAATAAAATTGAACCATATGTTAGTCCCGAAAAGACCTAGTTTGTGTCGAGTGGACGTTAAACCCCATTTCTCTCTCTCTCTCTAGAGGGTTGATTATATAGGCTTGTCATGTGAAAACAATGCCTTATTAATAATTTATATAACATAAATAGTATCACATAATTTAAAGGCTAAACACCCTGCAACAGGAGGATTTGGCTCTGACATAATACATCTTTTAATTATTATAATATGAATATTATGGCTTTGGGGAGTATTACTGTATAATCGAGACTAAATCGAATGGGCCTAAAAATCGAGAGAACTTAACGGAAACCTTGACCATTGAAAATCAGAATAAGAGTAGGCGTGATTCTCCAACCCCGCATCTTTATGGAATGTAGATTGGTATGTTACTCAGTTTGAGTATTACTCAGTTATAATCCTATTCCATGTCTTAAAAAAACGTAATAAATCTGCTGACTGGGATGACTCAAATCGACAAAATAAAATGGTATGGCTTTCGGCCTTGTGTTGTGAATATTTTCATCCCCCTCCAATACACACCTACACCAAGTTTGAACATTCTAGCTCAATTTGTAGGAGAGTTAGTGTGTGCCAAAAGGTGTAATAGACAGACGGGCGGACCGACAGGCAGGTGGACAGGCGGACGGACAGACACATTTTAATAGTCCGCTGCTTTCTAACTTACTCATCAGAAACGGGACATAACTCTATTGAATTTAATTGCTGGGCGACTTCTCGACAAGGCTTCTTATTGCTTAAGAAAAAGAAATAGAGAAGTCTAGTCGAAATAGGTTTGAAACTTACTGTAAGTTTGGGTTTGCCATATTGCATCACATAGTCCCAGACATCCAGCAACGACGTAGAAGTTTGGTATATCCCCCGGTAGAGGGCGCCATAACCACAAGACAATGAGTATACCAACATTAAAGAAAGCTGCGGCTGTGATGAAGGCGAATCGTTTAATATGATTGGCTATACATCCAATGACTATTGATGACACAGCGCTAACAGCTCCAAAACAAACTAATAACGGTCCAATATTATCAATACCCAATGTACAGTTTACATACGACTGAAAGATACAAAAGGACAGATAATTAAGTTTGGTATAGTCATATAAATGAAATGAAATGGTGTTTAAGGTTCTACTGTTCTGCTCCGACTTGGCTAATGAAGACGGGCATACGCCAGACAATGTGCTAATAGGGAAATTTTGCCTGGGTAGCGGCACTAAGACCTACTCTTATATCGAATTCCAAATGCCAAAGGATCTTTTACGTGCATGCCAATGTATAAACGGGGCGTGGAGTTTTATGGCATGTTCGCTCCACCGGGTCTATATTGCACCAAACATAATTATGGTGAGTTTAAAACAATATCCCAGAGATGCATTTATACATGTAAACAAAAACAAATATCAGAGAAAATATAATTAAAAACAAATATTAAATCTTCTACATACATAAATATTTTTAAAACGTAACACTTATATGATAAAATATATACAATTAAAATTTATCAAAACATTTTCTCTTTTAAAAATGTTAGCACTTTATCATATAGCTCCGGTTGAGCAAATAGCTGACGACGGTAATATTTAGAACTAATATACTTGAAATGATTGCATTCAATCAATATGTGTTTTTTTTTATAAAAGGAACATGACAGTGAGCACATTCAGGTTGTGGCTCTCGCTTCGAAATGAGTTGAAAAGGAATGAACAATGCGAGAGCGACAGAAACTAAGACGTTAGGCCCCATTTACATGGCTGAAAAATGTAATATTGTTGCGATTAATGTCCGCTTTCACCTAGAGTGATATCGCAGACTCATGTTTTCTAGGAAAGTTGATTGTCATAAAAAATTAAATAAAGTTTGTATACGCAAAAACATTCACCTGTTATAAACCTGGTAATATATATAGATTAAGTAACGACATGAAATGAAATGGGGTTTAACGTCCAACTGTTCTGCTCTGAACTGGGCTAAAGAAGACGGGTATACGCCATATAGTGTGATACAAGGGAAATTTTGCCCGGACAGCGGACATCCGAGCATACTAATATATAATGGTAACAATCTTCAAAATGGTGACCGCACACGCAGGCGGGCTATCCGTTAAATGTCTCAAAAACTTATGACCATTTAAATCGCTGCAGCCTAATCTCAGTTTACTATGTATTATTTGATTTTTTCTATCTCCAATATAATAGTGCTGTGGAATAATATGGTCGTTTTTAATCGAGCTTGAAACAAATGATGAGACAGAATTTTGAATTTTGTACTTCGGCTTCCAATGTATTCCATTCTCTGATCGTTAACGGAATAAATGCATTTGAAAGAATGTTTGTTTTACAAAAGTACTCTAAGGTCGACATTTTTTCTTGTTGATAAACACAAACGTCGAGAAACATATTTATTGATTTTCTGGCTTAAAGCATTTCTTAATTCACCTTAAAAGGGATGAAAGCTTTGATCGCAATATGGCCAGACCATGTTTTAGTATAAATTGTTTTTTCATCTACAAGCTGATTTAAGACTTTTAAATCTTCCAACTGCGGGACTCTGAATACAACAGAACTGGCTGCTCTATAAACCTTTAAATCTTTCAACAGCGGGACTCAAAATACAAAAGATCTATTGATGGCTGCTCAAATAATCTCTGATCGACTTACAACTCTAATGAATTCAGAGAGAGAGATGGGGTTTAACGTCCACTCGACACAAACTAGGTCATTTCGGGACTAACATATGGATCTTTTTTATTTCAAAAATTCTCTTGCGCGTACTTGTCTTTAGTAGTGGGAGGAAACCAGAGGACCCGGAGAAAACCCACGAGGTTCTGGGTTAGTGTAGGGATAACGTATAGTCGTTCGGATGGAACGAAAAACCGAGATCCCGTGTCCACATTGGCTTGTACGTAAAAGGTGTTTTGGCATCTTAAATTCGATATAAAGGGTAGGCATTAGCGCGGCTGTCCGGGCAAAATTAACCCCAATCGGAGCAGACCAGTAGGACTTTAAATCCCATTTCATTTCAATTTATTTCGTATTTTTGCAGTCAGACTTCCCCTTGTCAGTGGTGCAGGGCTAATAAAGACGGACATTTGAGGGAAATTTTGCGCGGACAGCGGCACTACGGCCTACTCTTATATCGAATTCCCTACGGTCTACTGTCAATTGATCGGGTTTTCGTCCCATCCGAACGACTAAACAGCTGTCTTTGTTAGGCCCTCCGTCCTGCATCAGGAGAACCATGCCGGAAAATCTGGATGAACACCCGACCTCCAGGCTATTCCACTTAGCCACCGTGACTCCCCGTTTTCATGTTTCTATAAAATGTTATGGTATGTGATTTGATTGTTGAATGAAACCGTAATTTCACCATTGACTGAACAATTTGACAATATAACACGGTACTGGAGGCGATGTCTTTCTGTTAAACAGATTGGCCATTCATTGGCGCCTTTGAGGTGGAAAACTGTTTTCACTACAGCGTAATGGCTACTTCTTAGATCGTTCAATTTGCCGAGTCAACCTTAAGGCTCTCTATTGATTATCAAGGGTAAAAATTTGGAATGGGTTTACTAACGTGAATTGGTGAGGAACGAAGATTTATCTAGCTGAATCAATAATGTCTGGGATCTCTCCACTTTAACAAGAAAGGTTCCAATGAGATTTTTGTATCTTTTCTGTATATTTCAATTTCTTGAAAGATTGACCATGAAAGGTTCCAATGAAAATGTTATCTTTTCTATATATTTCAATTTCTATAAAGATTTTACCATGAAAGGTTCCAATGAAATTTTTATCTTTTCTATATATTTCAATTTCTGGAAAGATTTTACCATGAAAGGTTGCAATAACATTTTTTATCTTTTCTGTATATCACAATTTCTGGACAGATTTTACCATGGAAGGTTCCAAAGAATTTACCATGAACGGTTCCAATGAAATTTGTATCTTTTATCTATATTTGAATTTCTTGAGCGAGCCATGGTAGCTCCGTGAGAAGGACATTTACCATGAAAGGTTCCAATGAAATTTGTATCTTTTATCTATATTTCAGTTTCTTGAGCGAACCATGATAGCTCCGTGAGAACGTGAGAAGGACACTGGTTCACTAACTCTAACGTCTTGGGTTCCATTCCTCCCGGTCTTGGTTTAGCAGTTTACATAATAGAGAGAGAGAGAGAGAAGAGAGAGAGAGAGAGAGAGATGGGTTTAACGTCCACTCGACACAAACTAGGACAGTTCTGGACTAACATTTGGTTCAATTTTATTTCAATAATTCGCTTGTGCTTAGGGGTCTTTATTAGTGAGGGGAAACCGGAGGACCCGGAGAAAACCCACGAGGTTGGACAGGCGACCCTACTCCTTGTCACATACAACCGGGGAATCGAAACCACGCCAGATGACTCAATGACAGACCTTATGATACAACGTGCACGCTAACCATTCGGCCATCCACCCCCACCCCCGCAAATTTACTTAATGAGAAATATCGTCTAATCATTTGAATGGCACGAAAGACCCAGGTCTACCGATGTACTACTTGGTGTGCACGCTAAAGAACAACTGATAGTCGGCTACAGTTTCCCCAGAGGACACTGTGAGGTGTATGCCCGTCTACCTGGTCGGTACAGGTAGACAAGTCAAACGTTAAATACCCTTTACTTTGCCCTGGCGTGGTTTCGATTCCTGGCGTGGTTTCGTGGTTGTACGTGAAGAGGAGTAGGGTCGCCTGGCCATCCTCGTGGGTTTTCTCTGGGTCCCCCGGCTTCCCCCCACTGCTAAAGACACCTAAGTGCAAGCTAATTATTGCGTGGTTTCAATTCCCCGGTTGTACGGGTCCTCCGGTTTCCTCCCACTGATAAACACCCCCCTACGCGCAAGCGAAATATTGAAATAAAATTGAACCATGTTAGTCCCGAAATGACCTAATTTATGTCGATTGGACGTTAAACCCCTTTTCCCCTCTCCCTCTTTACTTTGTCCAGTTAATCAAGCACTATATGAAGCTTCTCTATATTGAATCGTCTTTTTACTTTTCGTGGATGGTAATGTACGATGTAACAACCATCGTAAAAAATCTATAAAAATGTGAAAAAAATGAGACAAGTTGAAAGTAGATGGACTACTTGTCATGTCGTGTTTTAAAATCACTAGAGATTTCATGATTGATTGCAAGATCCCGATCTCTTTTTAACCCATGTCTCAAGAGAAATACCACTTTTCTTTATCTTGCACGATAGTTTTTTTCCCTGGCATTCTACTATTGCACGACATGTTTTCAGTTTTTTTCTTCTAAGAATAACATTTATCATTCTTTTTTCTGATGTTTTTTTTTTTATCTTTTAATGACAGTGCGTGTAGGATATATTTTTCTGTGTACTTTTAGTTTCCTGTTAAGTCGTGTGGTTGGTGGCGAGGACGAGAGGTCTGAAGCGTGCGCTTTAGATTATAAGGTCTATCACGGAGTCAAGTTGTGTGATTTCGCCTGTCTAACCTTGTTTTGGTTCCGCCGCTGCGCATGTGAATTATTGCAATACAATTGTAGCAAATGTTTTTCCCGAAATGACCTAGACTGTGATAAGGTACTGGCTCACTTACTAGCATGTACCGAGTTCGATCTCAGTATTTATCGAGGATGATCTCCAGCAGGTACCGAGTTCGATCTCCGTATTGATCGAGGATGATCCCCAGGATTTCATAGTCTGGTTTCTTCTTGTCAGTAGCACAGTACGGTGTGGCTGGCACAAATGTGTGTAGTCCTTCGGATATGTCGAGAATAACGAGATCCCGTGTATACCGTTGTCAGGACATTTAATATCTTCTGTCAGTTGGAATTCTATATACCATCACTCCTAGGGCAAAACTCCTCACATAGCACACTGTATGTCATAGTGCCGCTGCCCGGGCAAAACTCCTCACATAGCACACTGTATGTCATAGTGCCGCTGCCCGGGCAAAACTCCTCACATAACACACTGTATCGTTATAGTGCCGCTGCCCGGGCAAAACTCCTCACATAGCACACTGTATCGTTATAGTGCCGCTGCCCGGGCACAACT